GGCGGCTGCTGCTGCTGCTGCTGCTGCTGCTGGGGCCCCCTGAACCCTGCTGCTGCTGCTGCTGCTGCACCAGGAGCCGGAGAGGAAGTCAGCGGGGGGCCCCTGGGGGGCCCCCTAGCCACAGCAGCACGGGGTGGCCCCGCCAGCGAGGCCCGCAGGACCCTTCTGCAGGCCTTGCGGCCGTTAAGTGCTGCTGCTGCTGCTGCTGCTGCTAAGCTGCTGCTGAAGGTGACACAAAGCTGCAGGCTGTCTCCAGAAAGGGACGGAGAGGAGGAAACCCGCAGCAGCAAACTGCTGCAGGCCTCCTTAAGTGCTGCTGTTGCTGCTGCAACATCGAGGCTCAGCGGCGCGTTGAGCAGCTCCACTGTGCTGCTGCTGCTCTGGCCCGCTGCTGCTGCAGCTGCTGCTGCTGCAACTGCTGCTGCTGCTGCTGCTGCTGCCTCTGCTTCTGCTGCTTCAGCAGAAAGGCCTTCTTCCTCATCGGAAATGGCCCCCTCTTCGTCGCTCTCTTCGCAAGCAGCAGCAAATCGTGCCAGTGTTGCTGCTGCTGCTGCTCCGACTTCTGTGGCTCGCGCTGCTGCTGCTGCGGTGCTCTCCTCTGCTGGTGCTGCTGCTGCTGCCTCGCCTTCTGCTGCTGTTGCTGCCCCGTTCAGCGTTGTTGTCGAGCTGCTCCGCTGGGGAGATGCCCTGTCGCTTTTCTGCTGCAGCGCGGGGCCGTTGCTGCTGCTGCTGCTGTTGCTGCTGCCAGCCTTCGGATCCCTCTGCTGCTCCTGCAGAAGCTTCGCCTCTCCCGAAGATGCTGCAGCCGTCTCAGCAGCGTCATCTTCTTCAGCCTGCTGCTGCTGCTGCTGCTGTTGCTGTTGCTGCTGCACCTCCTCAGGAGGCCCGTCGTGGTCAGAGTAAATCACTTCCTCTTCATCTCCAGCGCTGCATGCAGCAGAGGGTCTTCTGCTGCTGCTTCTGCTGGCTCTGTCTTCTGCGTGGTTCTGCTGCTCCTGCTGCTGCTGCTGCTGCTGCTGCTCGTCGTGCTGCAGCTCGCGCTCGTCCTGCGGCTGCTGCTGCGTCCCCGAAGCCCCGTTTCCTGCTGCTGCCGCTGTCCCGAGGGCTTCTGCTGCGGGGTCGCGCAGAGCTGCAGCTTCTGCCGAGACTTCGCCCTCCATGGTATTCCGCAGCAGCTGCTGCTGCTGCTGCTGCTTCTGCTGCCTCACAGCCTCGGCCTGCAGATGCCGCAGTGCAAAGGAAGGGAAGCGAAGCAAAAATGGAGTGTCAATGGGGGGCCCCTGCTGCCATGGTGGGGGCCCCGCTGGTGCCTTGCT